GCCCGCCACAACGCCTGGCCATTTTTTGGTTGCAGCCATCATTGTTGTTTGGCGGGCCCGGGCTGGGGATTCGAACCCTCCACCTTAGGTGTATGTGGCCTGCACCTTAGCCTCTTGAGCCACAGGCGCCGAGCCAGAAAAGGGGATATTTCTAAAATCAGTTTGTCTCACCAGACTGTAGCCAGGTGAATTACTGGAAAATCTAATGAAAGAAGTTTAGAGATTAAAGCTGCTAAATTTAAATTTTATGCTTGGTATAAATTTTATGCTAGTACTGATCCTACAAGTATGGCTCAACTTGCCATTTTTATTAGAGGCATTAATGAAGAATATAAGGTCACTGAAGAAGTGGCTTCTTTAGTGCCATTGAAAGACACAACTAAATCAAGAGACTTATATGAAGCAGTAAAAAAATACATTAAAGCAATTATCTCTGTTCATTGTCAGCATATCTGGTATAGTTACTGATGGTGCAATGGTAAGTAAAAGAGAGGGACTTGTAAAGTTAATAAAGATGATGCAATTGCTGCCCCCAAATCATTTGCTGAAATATCATTGCATCAAGAAAATTTATGCCCAAAAGCTTTTAAAATGGTTAACATCATACAGATCTTCATTTAGACTGTGAATTTCCTAAGAGCCAAGGGAATTCACAAAAGTCCTATCCTCAGGGAGCTTTAAATTCTAGAAGGGGAAGAAGTAGCCCATATATATGCAGTGGTCTTTGATGTGGCCCTGCACATCTTGTGAGGCCAGGGGTCATCAATGTGACCTGTGGGCTAAATCTGGTCTTCTACCTCATTTTCTGTTTTGTTTGTTTGTTTTGTTTTGTTTTTGAGACAAAGTTTGGTTGCCCTTGGTAGAATGTCATGGTGTCATAGCTCACAGAAACCTCAAACTCTTGGGCTCAAGTGATTCTCTTGCCTCGGCCTCCCAAGTAGCTGGAACTAAAGGGGCCCAGCTGTTTTTAGAGATAGGGTCCTGCTCTTGCGCAGCTGGTCTCACACTCCTGAGCTCAAGCAGTCCACTCGCTTCACCCTCCCAGAGCGCTGGGATTACAGGCATGAGCCACTGCACCTGGCCCTTTCTACCTCATTTTGTATGGCCCACAAGTTAAGAATGGTGTTTAAAATTTTAATAGATAATAATTTTTAGTCAAGTGCAGTGGCACATGTTTGTAGTCCTACCTACTTAGGAGGCTGAGGCAGGAAAAGCACTTGAGCAGTTCAAGGCTGCAGTCAGTGCTCTATGATCATAGCTGTGAATAGCCACTGTACTCCAGCCTGGGTGACATAGCAAGATCCTATCACAAACATATATACATATATGTATGCATATATATATATGTATATTTATATCTGTGTGTATATATATGCTTTAAACAAGAGAATTTCATGACACATAAAAAATATATGAAATTCAGTTTTCAGTGTCCATAAATGGTTTGTTTAACAATTGGAATTATAGATGATTTTAATTCATAATTATTTCATTTAACCAATAATTTTTTTTTTATTTTGAGACAAAGTCTCACTATGTCACCCTTGGTAGAGTACTGTCTTGTCACAGTTTACAGCAACCTCAAACTCTTGGGCTTAAACAGTTCTCTTGCCTCAGCTTCCCAAGTAGCTGGGACTACAGGCACCCACCACAACACCTGGCTATTTTTTTGTTGCAGTTGTCATTGTTGTTTAGCAGACCCGGGCTAGGCTCAAACCCACTAGCCTCATGTATGTGGCTGGTGCCCTACTCATTGAGCTACAGGCGCCAAGCCTAACCCATAATTATTTTATTTATATACTTATTGTCATTGACTGCCTTCATGTTACAGTGGCAGAGTTCAGTAATTGTGGCAATAACTGTATGTTCTGCAGAGCCTAAAATATTTACTATCTGGCCTTTCACAAGAAAAGTTTACTGAGCCCTGGCTTACCTTGTGGACACCTCTCTTGTCTCTATCTCACCATCCCCTGCCACAATGCTCTCTCCCCTTCATCTGCAAGTCTTTGTACAAACTTCCTTTTCTCAAATTCTCCCCCATACATCATCTTCCATTCGACTGAGTCTTCCTCATCTTCAGATCCCAACTCCAGCTTTATTCCTCAAGAAAACTGTCTCAAAATGCTTTAGTTTCAATGATGCATCTCCTTTGCTTTTCTCTTATCCTCCTCATGTTTACATCCTCACTTCCCTCCTGCCCAACCAGACTCCATGGCCATTCTCTACACCTCCTTTGCCCCTCGGTCCTTCCAGTAGCACCGAGGCCCCAGGGCAGTGGAGCACTAGAGCCCAACTACATACATCACTCTAGAGATAACAACTACAGCCTGAGGTTCCGGGGTCCCCCTGGAGTCATGCCCTTAGCTGGCCCACCTACTCTCTTTCCTGCAGGCCACGCTCACCTCCTTTGACCCCTCCCAGCAACCCTGCAACACTTCTCTTAACTTGCTTTGCTTCCTATTTCATTTGACAAGGGAAGAAGTTCTCCATATCCTTTCATGAGCTCTTGTCAGCCTCACTGCCTCAGCATCTCTCCATTCCCAGTGGAAGAACTGCCCACATCCCTTCATGATGCCAGCCAGTCCCTATGTAGTGAACTAGAGCCCAGCCCTTGCCTTAACAAGGACCCCTTCCAGCCATTCTTACCCTCCTGTCCTGCACTTTGCCTCTTCTAATTCCTTCCCTTAAGTATACAAAAATGCTGGAATACCACTTATCTTAAATAAATAGGCTTGGCGCCTGTGGCTCAAGCGGCTAAGGCGCCAGCCGCATACACCTAAGGTAGCGGGTTCGAATCCCCAGCCCGGGCCCGCCAAACAACGATGGCTGCAACCAAAAAATGGCCAGGCGTTGTGGCG